AAAGTATTGACAAGTTTTTAAAGATTATCAATAGTTGTAAGTCTATTATCAGTTTAGCCAAGTATAGCATCTATGGTTTTTCCTTCTATTCCAAACAACTTAATAAATCTACAAGTCAAATTAAAAGAAGATAATTTGCAACCTCTAATATTTAATAAAAACTTCTACAAAAAAAGATCAATTATTATATTTAGTATTAAAAAATAAATTTTTTATTTAAAGATAGATAATTTATAACCTTCAAAATACAAAAATAAAAATGAGATAATCAAGTCACTTCTAAAATAAGATAATAACAATGAATTAAAAACTCATTGAATTATTAGTGACTTAAATTTTAAAAAACTAAAATATCAATACACTCTTCTTTCATTCAAAAAGACTAAAAAATCATTCAAAGATGATATAGTATTAAAGTAGTATAGTAGTAATTTTTTTTAGTATTAATATTATTAAATTATAATATATATATATATATATATATATATATGTATATTATAAAACCATTAATATAAAAATAAAGTAGATTAAGAAAATAAATCACATATGCATCTTTAGGAAGGAATTAAGAATAGATTTTAACAAAACTTACTCCAAAAGACTAAGAATTGATATCGAAAGAGGACCAGTTGTGAATCAAGGTCGAAGTTACATTGTAAGGCATAAAATTGTACACCTACAATAATTCTAGGATTTTTTTGATTGATTGAAGAGTGGAGTTTGCGAGCAAACTTGTGAAAGGTTTTTAGAAAGTTGGTTTCATGTGATTTGAAGGATTAGTGAGGATTTTTACAATCCTACAAAATTTTCTAATTTGATTGAAGCAAAAATTAGTGAGAGTAATTTGAACTTACAAATCTATATATTAGTAAATTTTTGAAAACATAAACAGTTCAACAAGAAAAAAATGTTGTTGAAAGACCATGTCTAATTTGAAAAAAGATGGTAGTTGATATTTGAGAGATTTAAGAGTTTTTTTTTTTTTTTTTTTTTTTTTTTTTTTTGAATTGGTGATTTTAATTTTCATCAAATTTTATATGTTTAATAATTGCTTATGAATTGAAATGTAGGTGAAATTTTAATTGGAATCAATGTTTTGATTAATATTTATTGAGATTTTAAAAGAACTATAGAAATTGATTAAATTTTATTTTGGATTTTTTTGGATTTATTTAGAGTTTATTTAGGAATTGATTTGGATTTAAGATTTAATTAGGATTTGATTAGAATTAGATTTAAAATTTAGGATTTATATAGAATTTGATTAGAATTGGTTTAGAATTTAGCTAAGATTTATTAAGATTCGAATAGAATTTTGGTTAGGATTTAATTAGAATTGGATTAGAATTTCATTAAGATTTTGTTAGAATTTGTTAGAATTGCATCACGATTTTTTTAAGGCTACATTAAGGTTTTGTTAGGATTTACCTAAGATTTACTTAAGATCTATTTAAGATTATTATTTTTAATATTTTAAAAGGATTATTTTTTTGATTTTGTTTGTTTGTTTGTTTTTTTTTGTTTTTTAGATTTTTTTTTAGTATTTTTTGAAGATATTTTTATTATTTTTCTCTAAAATTAATTTATTATTTCTTTATATTTCATTGATAATTTCTTTTAAACTTCTTTTAGATTAATTAAAATTTGATAAGATTTTTTAAGGTTTAATTAGAATTTATTTAAGATTGTATTAGACTGATTAGGAACTTATTGTTACATTTTTCTATATACTTTCCATAGCTAGGTGCTTAATATATTCTCAAGTTAGAATTTATGTTATACAACATCGTGTGCAAATACAATAGTGTTCAAGAAGATGAAGACACTCAAAAACTCCAAAAAATACTTTGATCTTAGATAGTACTTTTTAAGAAACTTGATGTATAATGTGAATTAGATAGTGTTCTTGCTTTAAGGCTCGATCCATTGAATAATTGATTAAAAAAGATTTTAATTATTATTTGGCTAAAATACAAGTTACAAATTGGATGGGATAGAACAAGTGTTGTTAGCATTATAGCATCATTTGGGTTGGTCAATAGTTTTGAGACAAGTTTTATTAAAATCTATTTTTAACTTCTTCTTTAAGATGTCTATATGATTTATTTTCTTAGTTTGCTTTGTTTTGCTTTAATTATGGTCTTACAAAGTAAGTAGAAGTTTTTATTGATTTATAGAAAGACAAAATAAATATTAATAGTTTTTACTACCTTCATATCATTTATCCATATTTTTCTACTATATCTTTCTACTAGGCTCTTCTATAATAAAACTCATATTTTTATCTTTCACCATATAATTATGTTACCATATAATACCATTCCATGCCATCTCATGTCTTCTTCCTTCTCCAAGTTGTTCATCAATATCAATCTTAGCATGTGTTTTGGTGTTTTTCTCGGAGTTAGAATTTTTGGTTTGTTCTCATGCTCATGGCGTTGAATTGTATTCAAAGTGGAATCAATTAAATGTTAACCAAGTGTGGTGTGTTTTATCAATTTAGTAGAAAAAAATTATGTTCATCTTTTTCAAGTTGTCAACCAAAGTTGTTGATCTTTAGTTCTTCTACAATTGATTTCTAGCATTGCTCCTTGTCCTTGGCCTTGGTAGGTGCTCAAAGCAATGTATCAAACTAGACAAGGTAGATCAAGTGCTTTTTAGCATTTCAGCATTATTTATTCTAGTCAATGGTTAATTCATTCTTTGACGTGGTTGTAATTCAAAAGAAACCAGCTATGAGTGTACTAAAGTGTGGACGATTGCCTCAGCCCAATTACTATCAGCCTACAATGCAACTTATGTGTTTTTGTTGTGGTTGTGCAATCCAATCTTTTGAAATTTATGATTTCTAGCAAAAACACACATTCAAGTGCTACAGTCACTGGAATTAGAAAGTACAATGACTATAGGTTAATCAACTTGTGGTTTATGCATAAATTTGATATTTACATGAAGAAATCGCAACCATCGTGGTGGTGTAAGCATTAAGTGCAAAAAAACATTCACATTATATAGAACTCTTCCCAATCCACAAGCATGTTCAAGATCCTTGAAGAAGTAGGTTTTTTTACAAGAAAATCACTATGAATCCAAGGATGTAAAGTTAGAGCCAAATAATTGATTCTTTTATAAATCAAAACTGTTTTGAAGATTCATGGTTGCAAGAATAAAAAAATTGGGTCAAAGCTCTAAAGTATGAGTTGATATAATCTAGAATTTTGTATATTTTGGAGCAAAATGTCATTAGATCAATCCTCCTTTTAATGCCAACGGATACAATTCTAATCTTTTTCAAAATTTGGAATCCAGGAGGTCAAAGGCCAAACCCAAGTAACTATATAAATCTTGCTAAGGTAACTATGTTAAGAATCCAAGTAAATAGAGTTGTATTTGGATGGATCTTTATGAATAAAGTTAGATTAGGGTTTGTAGGAACTTAAGATTTAGATGATCAACTTAAATTGGATGAATAATATATTTTATTGAACCTTTATTTGTGGATAAAAGTCAATTTTAGATGATAATTTATTCTTAGATGATAATTTGGTCCTTGATGAAAATTTAATAGTGGATAATAAATGATTTTGAAAAAATAAAAATAAAAATATTAATTATTTGCAAGCTTGGTATTGAGTGGCAAAGTATATTAATGTTTTTTTTAAAGATTATGGTATTAAGATTGGATTATTTTAGAGAAATTAAGGACCTTTTTAATAAAAACTTAAGCAATAATTATACATAATTAAACACATATGATAATTAACATTGTTGTGAATCAAAATAAACTACCAAGTAATGGGGATTTATTTTAGTTTAAACACCATGATCAAACCCCAGGTGATTCCATTGACCTCCATTGATTGCACAATGAATTGGAAGCTCACAATTAGAGAACAATAACAAGAACAAAGTTTTTATTTCACTTTTGAAAACACTATGTTTTTAAATTGATAAACCTTTTTCCAAAAGGTTAATTCAAAATCACTTGGCATGAGTCACACACAATGAAAGACCAACGTGAAACAGAGCAAAAGACTGGAGGAAGTCTGTTCAGGTTTGAGCACACTCTTTAATACCACGTCTGCTTCTACGTGCACATACCCACAAATGTTGACACACACAGTATTTCGTCTAGCCGAATATTTCTGTCACCCCACAAAACAACACCCACTCACCAAATACCACGTCAGAACCGTCAGTTGATGCTCGACAATATTTGCCTTCTATTTAGACCTGGGTTCCAACTCAAAGCTTCAATTCAAACCTCGACAAAGCTTGCACCGCTGTAACAATTGTAGAGGAAACTTTCACGAGGTGTCGCAAATGCAACTGGAATATAAACTGCACAGGCCTCATAAAAAGCATGGCCCTGCCCAAACGAGTGCCCTCGGGCCTCGACATTGCAATGTCCCAGCCACTATTACTTCACTAGAGGTGGAGTGCTTGGGAGCGGTGGATTTCTCGCACGTCTTGCGAACTCCCGCTGGGGTTCCACTTGCACCCGAGGTCACGCTACTCGGAACCAGCATTGAGTCACAAAAATGGACACGAACCATCACCGAAGAAGAAGAACGAGGAGACGATTGTGAAGCAGAGAAACAACATTCACTCTTCTTCTCCCAAGAGAAAACGAAACACGGAGAAACAGAGACAGAGAGAGAGGAAGTGAGAAAATCGTCCGGACACAAGACTTGCTGGTGATGAGTAAGGAGTTCACAAGGAGTGGTCCCTCGTCATCCTGGTCTGGCTCCAAAGTCCACAACCATCCCTCCCTCCCTCCCTGGCACCAACACAGAAAAGCAAGCAAGCAAGAAACAAAACAAAACACACAAAGTTGGGGCTGTCGTTCATCCAGGGTCTCCATTATCATCCCTTCCTGGCCTGGGATCGTGATAAAACCGGAGTTTCATTCATCCGGCGAGGAACTACCGACCGAGCGAGGGAGGGGGGGGGGGGGGGGGGCTAGGCGGGGGAGAGGGAGAGGAGGAAAGGGACACACTCACTCAACTCACTCACTCACTCACTCACTCCGGAGTGAGAGAGTGTTGATGACCGTCTCCCGCGTGTTCCCATCATCCCAGTTCACGCTTCCATCTGTCTGTCTGTCTGGCTATGGCGTTCCTCGCTCCTCTCCCCCAAGCCTCCATGCCCCCTTTCCCACGCTCCGCCATCGCCTCGGCCCTTTCCCTCTTCCTGTTCTCTGCCTCTTCTCCTCCGCTCTTTAGCTCTTCTCCCTGGTTTATGCGAGCCTAGAATCCGATTACGCTGTGCATTTTGTTTTTTGTTCCGTGTTTTTCTTATTTTTCCTGTTTTATTTTGGGAGGAGGGAGGTGGCGGTCGGAGGTAGAAACCTAGTTGTGCTCTCTAATGTGCCGGTGGATGGAGGAGCGAGGAGGCGGGCGTTGCGCAGCGATGGTGTTTCGCGGGGCGGGGAGGTGTTAGGGGTCGCTCGCTGGCGGGGACAGGGCAGGTAGGGTAGGCGAGTTAGGGACGAAGCAGTGGTGGAGTTGGGCGTGGTGGTGGTGGCGCGTTGGTCTTGGTGGATTGGTGTGGCGGGCATTCCCCGGGGCAGAGTGGGAGGTTGTGATGCCGAGGTTCTAGGTCGCTGCGGCGTTGGTGGGGCGTGCGGGAGATGTGGACGCTTCGCTGCGGGAGGCGGAAAGGCGAGGTCTGGGCGCGGGCTCGGTGCTGGTGCATGCGGAGGGAGGCTTGGAGGGTCGGGATGTTGGTGTTCTATGGCGCAGCGTGCTTGGATGAGTTAGAAATGGCTAGTAGAGGATCAGGTACGGTGACGCGCGATGAGAATAGGTCACGGAGCGATCTAGGTTTTCGTGGAATCGCGGGGTTGGTGGTGCATTGGCAATGAGCGTTGTGGGCGGAGGATCGAGCGTGTGCGAGGTGGATGGAATTAGGTCCTCGGGGGGTTTGTGTGATGAACTGACAGCTTGTTGATGTGCTAGACAAGGATGAGCCCGGCGAGGCGGGGTGTTGGTGAGTAGCGCATCCATCTAGGTCGGTGAAGCGGGGAGGGTGCGTGTCCCTTATGATCCCTTTCATCGGTTCGTGCTCGTGCTCGTGCTGGCAGGCGGACTGGAGTGGCAGTTCGGAGGGTTGCGAGGCATCGCTGTGAGGCGAGCGGGACTTCGTGCCTCTCATGATGAACGAGGCGAGGAACCGGAAGGAGAGAACGGAGAGGAAGCGACCCCTGGGTGACATCAACAGGCGCGCCATGGCGAGGCCGGCATCGCCTCCGGTGGCGGAGACGCCCGTGAAGCGGCCGTCGAGGGCGTGCTCGTCGCGACTGCGGGTTTCGAATGCGTCCGATGGCGGGGTGTCGGGTGCTTCGCCCACTCCTCCGCTGCCGAGGTCGTCGTCGAAGGCGTCGAACGAGAGGAGCTTGTCTGGCGAATTGCCCCCGTCGTGGCCGAGTGCGAGCCGGACGGGCGCGAGGGCGATGTCCCTGGCCCTGGGTTCGACGATGTCTCCGGAGCGGATGGAGCTTCGGGGGTTGTGGGAGATGGCGGCCGTAATGAACTTTTTCTGCATATTCCGGCCGATCATCAACAATTTGCCGGAGTTCACGATGGAGGAGCTGGAATCCGCGATGCTGTTCCCGAATCCGATGTTGGACACGATTCATGTGGTGATGCTGAAGGGCGTCCCGCCGGCAGCCAGAGTGCCTCTTCGAGGCGATACGTGGCCGACGGTTCTGAGCAAGAAGTTCAAGGATTGGTGGTGGAGGGTGGCGGAAGGTCCGTGTCCGCTGGTGCCGTGCCAAGGGGCGGAGCTGGCGACGTACCGGGAGTTGGACCCTCCGACTCGCGTGCGAGTGTTGCTGGCGCTGTGCGAGATGCGCGTGGACCAGGACGACACTCGGTTGTACATTGACGACTCGGTGAAGCGGAACCAAATGGGGGAGGTGCGGAAGGAGAGGGCCGGTTGCGGGGCGGAAGGAACGACATTCTGGCTGGACGAGGATCAGATGATGGGGCAGAGGCTGTACAGGGAGGGACAGGCGACAATGCCGCAGCCACCGTCGAAGAACAAGGCCAGGGGGTGGGGTAGGGGTAGGAATGTGCCACCTCCGATTCCAGGGAACTGGGAGACGTGCGCGACGAATTTCGAGGAGTTTCAGGAAGTGTCGAACCGGCTGCTGGAGAGTCGGAACCGGCTGGAAGTGGCGATGGGGAAGAAGCTGATGCAGAGTCTGATGCCGCAGTTGGAGGAGATTCAGAAGAAGAAGGACCGGCTGGTGAAGAAGCAGCAGCGGGAGGCGGTGCTGTTGGACAACATGTTGGCAGGGAATGGGCTGGCAGCAGGGAGGTCGCGCAGGGAGCGGAAGCCGGTGACGTACACGTTCGATGAGTTCGATCGTTCTATCAACGAGGCGATCAGATTCACAAAAAAGGGGGCGTCGGACACTTCGTTGAGACGTGACGGCCTGAGATTCGGCAATGGCGCGAACGAAGCGGGGCATTTGGGGAAGGAGCGGAATGGTCAGGGCGGGTATGCAAACGGGGTTAGTGGCGTGAGACGATCGTCGCGCAATTCTCAGGCACATCTCGGGGCGGGGGGCGAGGGCGGGGTTGCGGGTTCGGAACCGCATCTGGTGGAAGCTGACTTGGGGTTCAGCGACGACGAAATAGAAGGAGAGGCCGTGTACCACGACGACTACCTGGCCGCGAGGCAGCGCAAAGAGAGGAGTTATTCGTCAGAGAGAGGCGAGAGCTCGAGAGGTGAGCTGGACGATGCCGATTTTGATGAGGTCGAGGAGAAAGCCGAGGAGGAGAATGAGGATTACGGGGGCGGCAACGATGGCGATGGGGATGGGGATGGGAGCGAAGAGCGAGCGTGGAAACGGCCAAGGCGGGGTCCGAAGGTGCGGCTAGTGAACGACGTGTCTCGAGAAGGGGTGCACAGGAACGCCAGGCCTGTTTTCGATCGGGGAGGAGGTAGGGGCGGGGGTAGTGAGGAGGAGGAGGAGGAGGGAAGTGATCCTGACGAGCAGATTGTGAGGGACGCGCAACAGCGGCTGCGGATGGGCGAAGGGGCGGGGACGGGTAACGGAGGGCGAGGTGGAGGTGGTGTCGTCGCGGGGAGGGGTGACGCAGGGTTCGAGGAGGCGAGCGAGGTCAGCGGCGGTGACGAAGGCAGCGGGTACAGTTCCGGAATGCGGAATGGGAAAGGTGGAGGCGCGTTTGAGGAAGAGAGAAAGGGTAGTCGCGCATCGCTCATGGATGAGGACGCGAAGTCCGTGGGGCATTCCGGGGAACAGTCGGTAGGGTACTCGGGGCGGTCGGGGTCTGGCGAGGATCAGCAAGAAGCAGGTTCCGTGGATTTCGATGAGGAGGAAGGTACGGGCGAGGAGGCGGAGAGAAGTAAAGGTGGCGGGAGACGGAAGCAGTTGCTGGATTTGAACGAGGTGGCGACGGCAGCCCGCGGAAGCAGTCTCGTATCGGACAACGGGGAGAGCGAGAGCGAGAGCTCGGACGACGGGGGGAAGGACGGGCGTGGTGACGAGGGGGGTTGAAAGTGGGGCGTGGGTTGTAGAGGGATGGCGACATTGAATGGTGACACGATTGAGCTCCGTTTGTAGGCATGGTGTACATTAATGTGGAGGCGGCAGAGACATTGACTTGAGTTCTTGAGAGGACGTAGAGTAGCCCGACACTTGAGAAACCTGGACTTTTGAGCGGAGTGGGTTCTTAGAGGCATAGGCGTGGAGGGAGAGGAGGTACAGGCGATAGACGTCCGTGGTTGCTTCCTCCCGAGGCCTTTCCAGACGATTGTTTTCCAGGTGCATGCATGTTAGTGTTCTGGAACGCTGTTGACGGCACTTGGCACGAAGGTGCTCCTGCCTATCGGGAAAAGGGGGCTTTGTGCATGTACATCATGAACTATGAAGTAAAAGCAGACCGATTGTGAGGTCTGGCAGAGCGCCGAGGTTCACGCGCTGCCGTTGTCGGATGGGAGGTTGTGGGTGCGGTTTGTTTTTGTGGTTCACGAGGTTTTTGGCGTCCTCTGTTTCTGCAATATACCGCTACAAGTATCACGCCCAAGAAGATCGCAGATGATAACACACTCATCACAATTCCCACTGGGATGACAAATCTCTGCTGCGAAGACCAGCCCATTACCTATGCAGTGATAAAAATGTCAACTCCAAACCCAATATAACTGTTGCCTCCAGAAAGGGCAGCTCCGTATTCCATGTACCAGTACACGCAAAGTCATTTTGAGGACAACACGTTCATCAACAACAATCTGCGCATAGTGACAACACAAGCTCCGAACACAGCATACCAAACCAAAACCAAAAACAAAAATCCTTCCTACAACCTAACACAAAAACAAACCGCACCCACAACCTCCCATCCGACAACGGCAGCGCGTGAACCTCGGCGCTCTGCCAGACCTCACAATCGGTCGGCTGTCTCGAAACCCAGCCATCCAACTCTACCACACCCCAAAACTACCTTCCTGAAGCGGTGACCATGCCTCCCAACAACGGCAAATCCGTCTCAAACGCGGCAGCATGCACGCACGCATTCTCGCTCTCACCAAACCGACCACCACTCCTTCACCACAACACACAACTTCGTCATCTCCACACGGCACAACTCAAACATACTGCC